TAAAGATTGAAGAAATAAATGAAAAACTTGAAACCTAAATTAAATAAAACTAAATTTAAAAATGCAAGTTACACATTAAAACCTAAATTACAAAAATAATCAAATAAAGAAAAATGTAATAATAAGAAATACATTTAAATACTTAAAACCTAAATTAAAAACAAAATATAAATTACAACTTAATAAACCTAAATAAGCAATAAATAAATAAGGGCAGCACGGCGGAGCAGTGGGTAGCACAATCGCCTAACAGCAAGAAGGTCGCTGGCTCGGCCTTGGCCGGGTCAGTTGGTGTTTCTGTGTTGGAGTTTGCATGTTCTCCCCGTGTTGGTGTGGGTTTCCTCCGGGTGCTCCGGTTACAGTCCAAACACATGCACTATAGGGGAATTGATGAACTCAATTGGCCGTAGTGTATGAGTGTGTATGGGTGTTTCCCAATGATGGATTGCAGCTGGAAAGGCATCTGCTGTGTAAAACATATGCTGGATAAGTTGGCGGTTCATTCCGCTGTGGCGATCCCCGATGAATAAAGGGACTAAGACGAAAAGTTTAATTTAATTTAATTTAATTTAATTTAATTTAATTTAATTTAATTTAATTTAATTTAATTTAATTTACAAATAAAACTTAAAATCTAATTAAATAATCCATAAATTATAATTAAAACTAAAAACATAAATTGAAAAATAAAAAATAAATTAAACAAAATTTTGGGCAAATGTAAACTGTAATTAAACTTAAACTTAAAACCTAAATCCAAAAGTATATAGATATGTGTGATATAGATATGTATATATATATAATAATATAACTCAAAATAAATGAAGCTATATCCATGTTAGGGACATCAAACAGGTGAAGTAAAATCAATGCAACATTTTAAAAATAACGGTAACGAATGCAACACTTTGAGCGCGCTGTTAGCGAATGACTTGTTCTAAATTCCAGTAGAGACTTTCTGTGTTACTGACCTTCATCAGTGAGTGTTGTGTAGGTGAACGGACTGCTCTTCATCTCTTCATCTCTCTCCTTCTTTCATCCACTCGTTCTGTTTCTCTTATATCCCTGTGTGAGATCAGACCCGGAGACTCGCTTTTCTTCCTCTTTCTTACATCCGTCTGTGTGTGATTTTCTGCTGTCTGTGTTTATGATCTGTCTCTCTTTCAGCAGCACATCTGTCTCTCTCTCTATCCACTGGTGAACTGAGCGTCTCGGATCTCCGTCTCTCTCTCCCCCTCTCTCGCTCTCTCTCTCTCTCTCTGTATATTAATCCCGCTGTGTGTCCTGGTTTCTCCCTCCTGCTCGGTCACATTAGTTGCTGATAGGTGGTCTGGATACACACACACACACACACACACACACACACACACAAACACACACACACACACACACACACACACACACACACACAAACACACACACACACACGCGTTGTACAATGGTGTCCAAGCCAAATGTGTGTGCTTTTTGTGAAAACTTCACTGCGTAAAAAAATTATAATAAAAAAAAACAGTAACCCAATAGCTTACTATTTCTATTAATATGTCTGACTGTTGACATGTTTTATATTAATTATATTAATGCTTATATTAATTATATTAATGTTTATATGAATTATATTTATGTTTATGTTAATTATATTAATGCTTATATTATGTTGATGTTTATATTATTTATATTAATGTTTATAATAATTATATTGATGTTTATATTAATTATATTAATGTTTATATTAATTATATTATTGTTTATATGAATTATATTAATGTTATATTAATTATATTAATGCTTATATTATTTATGTTGATGTTTTTATTATTTATAGTAATGGTTATAATAATTATATTGATGTTTATATCAATTATATTAATGTTTTATTATTTATGTTGATGTTTATATTATTTATATTCATGTTTATAATAATTATATCGATGTTTATATTAAATTAATGTTTATATGAATTATATTGATGTTTATATGAATTATATTAATGTTTATATGAATTATATTGATGTTTATATTAAATTACATTAATGTTATATTAACTATATTATTGTTTATATTAATTATATTGATGTTTATATTAATTATATTATTGTTTATATTAATTATACTATTGTTTATATTAATTATATTGATGTTTATATTATTATATTATTGTTTATATTATTTATATTGATATTTATATTAATTTTATATATATATATATATATATATATATATATATTGTTTAAATTAATTATATTAATGTTTATATTAATTATATTATTGTTTATATTAATTATATTAATTTTATATTAATTATTTTATTGTTTATATTAATTATATTAATGTTTATATTAATTATATTAATGTTTATATTAATTAAATTAATGTTATATTAATTATATTGATGTTTTTTATTAATTATATTGATGTTTATATTAATTTTATTGATGTTTGAATTAATTATATTAAAGTTTATATTAATTATATTGATGTTTATATTAAAATACAGCACTAAAACATACAAAAGAAAAGAATTGACTTAAAATATCTCTTACCTGTTTAATAATGATTTGATCAGCTGTAGTTTGAAATTTACGCTGAGTTTTTCTCCTCTAAGCACTTATTATGTGGCCTCTGTCGCCATCTTGTGGCAGAACGTCAACTGTCTTTGTTTTGCTCAGTATGACAGGCTGATGACCACCGATGGGCTGAATCCAACATTATAAATCATGAAAATAGGCACTGTCCTTATAAATAAACTACATATTTAAAATCTAAACAACTACATTCACTCCTAAAAGCCCCAAAAGTACATGATGTTGTCCAACAGCTGCAGTATTTGTCAAACTGTAGTGAGCTTATTGATCTGCTGTTGCTCTATGTGGGCGGAGTTATACACACGGGTGAAGAGGCTGCACAAGTGATGTTATTGCAGAATATCACACAGCTTTCAGCCAATCAGATTTAAGAACCAGACAGAAATGTTGTGTGTGTATATATATATATATATATATATATATATATATATATATATATATATATATATATATATATATATATATATACATACAC